GGAAAAAAGGTGGTGCGTCCAGGTCCCGTTTGGTGCAGCTCTTTACGGAGTGCGGCTTTGACCGGGACCGTCAAGTTCAATACTTTTGTTTCCTCTCTATTTTCCGCACGTGAGAACGTGCTGCAAAAAAGTTGCGCATGTCTCCACCAGGACACGTTCATCAGCAAAGTGACAGTAGAGATCGAGAGTCGCCAGAGCGTGAAGATGAAAATGAAAGCCCAGTGGATGTCGGAAGACAAGCTGCGTGAACAGTTCAAGGAGCAACTCGGCCCACAAAATGTTAGCTACAAGCGCTTGCATAGTGCACATGAACATGGGCCGTATGACTTTAAAAACTTTAAAGTGCAATAATTTCACCAGCTCGCCCTAATTTCACTGCATGAGGTCAAGGGTCAATGCCATCAAGCAGTTTTGTGAACAACGTGAAGGGCTGACGAAGTGCCTTGTTTTGAGTGGACCAGGGTCACAACATGCACAGACATGTGCAGAAACGTCGAACCCGTATTTGATGATGCTGCCTTTATCTCATTAAACTAGTGTTCGGACATCGGTGAATTCATTTGAGCAGGTCTGAGCATGGTTTGAAAACTGACCCACCCCTTGATTTCAGGTGGGACAAGTACGAATCGAAGACCTTGTATTGGGTGGAAGAGGAGATTTCAGCAGAGTGGGAGCAGTTGAGATCCCGAAGCCATCGGCAGACTTACCACTACAATGTTGAGACCCCAGCCGTGGATGCTATCACGGAGACGTCGGGAGCAGTGCACTTGGACACGAATGAGGCCAGGGAAGCCACAGGACTGGATTGAATACTGCGCGTTTCAAACCTTCAGCAATCATTTTTTATAGCCCGCTAGTGACAGCCCTTCCAGGACTTTCTGCGCCAGGCCAATCTAGTGAAAGGCCGGCTACTGAGAAGCCCCCTCATGGTTCGCAGGCTGTTCTCCCAACGGTTCAGAAGAACCAGATGCCCTCGACCATGATTTTGAAATACATGGAAGGAATTTCAAAGCGCATCGTGAAGATCCAGGCGCTTCCAATTGAAAACAAACGAGTTGATTTTTTTTCACTTTCCTTTGGCTTCCCGGGATGTATTGTCTTTCAGGACTTGAAGAACAAGTACGAAAGCATTCCGGAGGCATCACGCACCAATACCCACACCCAGCTACTCTGCCAGATTTTGCCACGCAGGGTGAAATATCCAAGTTTCATTTCATCTTGGGCGCTCCCAGCTGAGGTTCATCGCGAAGCTTCAGATCCTGATTGATGGCTTGGATGCGAAAAATGAGAGCATCAATGTGGTGTATTCCCAGGGAGCAGTCGAGGGATACTCTGAGGCGTAGCTTTGTGGCACCTGGGGCTGGTGTTTCCTATTTCCATTTTTCCCGAAAGAAACAGCAAGTGCCGTTTTGTTTTCGAGCCGAGGCATGAAGGTACCTTGATGTCTCTCTTCAAGGAAGCGATGAAAGTGTCATTGCCTCAGCGGAGGTTCAGTTTCAAAGCATGGAAAGCAAGCATGCCCCAGCGGCTGTGGTTTCCATTTGACTTTGATTCCTCCTAAGGGCCCAGGAGCCCGTGAACGTTGAAGCTCGTTCGAAAGCTATCCCACTCCCGAAGGCGAAAGCCGCTCCTGGCAACGACTCGAAGCCGAAGCCTAAGGTCAAAGCCAAGGCGAAAGCCAAGGCCGAGGCCACGTCGCCCAAGGCCGCTGCAAAACAGAAGGCAAAGCGTTAGACAGTCAAGGCATGGGCATGGCAAAGCCGTGCTCTTGGGGACAGCCTGTGGCCCATGGCTAATCCTGTAACCAAGTCGGTTCCAGAACCATGGGTTGGCTGGGCAACCACAGGGTAAACCTTGTGGGTTTTTGGAGTCGCATGACAAGTGCGGCAGACTGCTTGAGAGGTCAGAGGGTGTGACAGTCTGAAGATGTCAGAAGGGAACAGAGAGCCTGTCAACTCAAGTGTGCTTGTTGCGCACGCATCCTCTGCAGCTTGACGCGAGCAGCCTAAGTCTCATTTTGAGAAAGACGAGAGAGCAATGGATCGACGGTGTGGAATAAAGGGATCTTTTTGAGTTTCATCATATGGCCCATTTCAATTGTTTTGAAGTTGCATCTTCCGCAGGAGAAATACCTTGGAAATGGTGCACATGATTGCCTGTGCATTTGACAGCTTCAAATCTGATATGCAATTCCTTTGAGGTTACCCTGATTCCTTCCTTTGCCAGGTGCAACAGAGCCTGGCGTCATGATGAAAAACTTAGCTTTGTCCATCGCAGATGGAGTCCTTTACCCAGTTCCAAGTTTCGAAAACATTGTTTCACATACTACACATCTTCAATGCAGGCCTCACACACGGGGCAACAGGGTCCCTGTCCATGCTGGCCACTTAGGCCCCTGCTACTCGGCTGAAACGCTTTGCTAAAGCTGCCATTGAAGAAGCTGAATTTCAGGGCACCTTTGGAACAGGTGCAATCCGAAGGGCTGGTAATATGACCGAAAAAAATTTGAAGAACTCGGAGCGAGACCTTCTCCGGCTGTTTAGAAACCTGGGTTTGAGTTTGCCATTACGCCCCAGCGTTTTCAAAGTTGGATTGCTCCATGTGCATTACTTGTCTTTGGCTTCATGGTTTCGCTACCTACTCCACAACAGCTCGGAATTTCTTCTTGGTGGCTTCAAAGCCAACACCTACCATGCAGGGGTTCTGCTCCAGTCCTTCTGGGATGCATTCCGTGTGGACCATCATGATCACTGGGTGTTCCAACAGGATCATTTGGATTTCAAAAAGACGGTGCCATTTTTTTTACACCTGGACGAAGGCACAGGCCTTCGGAAGAGCGCAGTCATGGTTTACAACATGCAAGTCGTCTGGGGGCAAGACACTGCCAAGAAGTTCAATGAGATTTTTGTAGGGCAGTCGGGGCGGACTGAGCGGGATGTGGCGCAATACATGCTAGAAGCCCAAACGCATAACCAGAGGGGGTCTACCTACACCACGAGGTACCTCTATACAATCCTGCCCAAACGGTGGTACACCAAGAAGTTTGTGCGAGTCTATGACCTAGTATTGAAAAAATTGACTGAGGAGTCTTGCACATTGGCAAGCGAGGGCATTGCAGGCTGGCATTTCGTTTGCCTTGGTATGAAGGGAGATGCCCCGGCTCTTGCCAAGGCAGGCCACCTGAACCGAAGTTTCCAGACTCTAGCCTTCACTTACTAAAGTTTTGTCTTTTTCTTTTGGTGGGTTTGGCTGCTAGACCCTCCAAGAGACAAGATTTACACCCCGCAACAGGGAACAACCAATTTTGTGAGTACATGTGATGTTTGGGTGTGCGCGTGGGCGATCGAAATACATTCCGGATGGGTTGTAATTTTCAAGTCCACAGCCAAGTGCATGAAAACAATTTGAGGAATTTGGGCTACCAGCTGCCGATTTGCATGGAATGTTTAGCTGGGAAGCCCGAATGCCCTTGGGAAGACACATCCCGAAGGCCGCTGTGGGAGAGTACGATCTCATTGCTGGAGCCATGGGATGCAAGGTCGCCTTCCCCACTCTTGGGGCTGCCATCTCAATCTTTCCGACCAGAGCAAATATTCCGAAAAGACCCGTTTCATATTTTCAAGCAAACCATCGGCGGTCATTTCATTGCAAGTGCAGTGATACTTCTTCTTGATTTTGCATATTGGGACCGCCCTGGCATGCCCAGCAATGCAGATTCTCTACTGGAGTATGCCCATGAAGATTTTGACCATTTCGTGAAAAAGGACTGGCAAGGCAAAGGTGTTGCCCACCTGAAAAATTTCACCCGGGGAATATTTCACTGGCCAAAAGTCAAAAGTTTTCCCTACGCACGAGTGAAGGGCAGCGACTGTATGCTTTGCATCAGGTGGCTTTTGCATCTGATTTTGCATGGATGTGCGCGACAGGGTGAAAATTCAAGACCTCATGTGAGCCTCATCAACCAGCCGTTGGCAGCATGGCATGTGCCGTTCTTGGAACGAATGCTTGGGGCGTGCCAAGCTTCCTTGGAGTTCTTCCATTTGATGCACAGGAATGGTGTTTGGCTGAATGCAGAACTTCAGAGAAAATTGTCTGAGGCTTCCTTTGTTTTTTCTGAAAATTACCAATGCCTAGCCCAGCTGTCACACAACAAGTCATTGAGAAGATTTCACCTTGAGCCAAGCTTACATTATTTTCACCATTACGGTGTGGATTTTCGACGACACCTGGAACAACATGGGAGCTCACCTGCACTGTCCCCAGCGGTGGACAACTGCGAGGCGGACGAAGATTTCGTTGGACGGCAAGCTCGCTTATCGAGGCATTGCCATGCCTCCTCAGTGACATTGCGGACCATAGAGAGGTATTTAATAAAAACTTTCTTTGTGCATACAAATCAGGATTGGGGATCTGCTGCCCATTCCAGATCCAGGAGCTGAGAGGCTTCCGCAGGAGAAAGACAGTCTCAAAGCTTTTGACGGCTCTTTGAGCCGGCTGGGTTGAGGCTGCAGATTGACATAGCTAAGGGGAAAGGATCTTTTTTGGGCAAACGACCCCAAAAAAAAAGGAACGACCCCAAAAAACAACCTGTTTTGAAACGACCCCAAAAACGAAGGGTAGCGGAGGGTCAAGGTATATATATATATATCCAAATGCAACGTATTTCAAGCAACGTAAACAAACACAACCTGCCACCTTCCACCTGGGTTTCTCTGAAAATTGATGTTTGATCAACACTTTTTATCGTAACATTGCCATTGTCGGGCATCACTCATTCTTGCACAAAACCATATCCGTTCTTCACTGGTTCGCTATTTGTCATGGTTGAAACCATATATGCCATAATTATATTTCATACAAAATACATAAAAATACATCATTAATTAGTTAATCAAAATTTTTCTGGGCTGCAAAGAAAATTGCCCCAACGTTTCTTAGGTGTTTCCCGGTATTTTCCCACGGCCCAGTCACATCGCATCACGGTGACTTTGCCCCGGCGCCTTTGAGGGCCGAAATAGTTCAGGAAGCCTCGAGCTTTCAGCGACTCGCAGCGGCGCTCCACCAGGTCGGAGGCCGTTGTTCCACCAGCACCGGGTTCCTGGATGACAGCGTGTTACTCTCGGAAAATTGAACCAAATATATCAATGTGTTGTATTATGTTGCATGTTTTAATATAATACATATATAGCATATGTTTATACAAAAATAATTATAGGCATATGTATATATATATATATGTAATTTTTATAAATATTTTGTGTCATTAATTTTCATTATATAACGATGGATCAATACCCATGTCTATAATTACTAAAGCACAAGGTGGTGTCACAGTTTGCGAACGCTAAGTTGGTAGACATAGCGGGGGGCACCACCATCAGGGGTTGGCAAGTGAGACACCGCGGTGCCAAAAATGAAACAACGGAGCACCGCGCTTGTTGGCTACCTGTCATGGCGAGTTATTGCAAAACATTGCAACACATCACAGATATTGAGTTTACTAAGTTTACTCACATTCACATCATTCACTAAAGATCACTCTCAAGTACCTGTTGGTTTCCCCAGCACCTGCATTCCAGGTGCTTTGCCGCGGCGCCTTCATTGGAACCTGTCTCATCACTACATTGAAGCGATTGCCCGACAAATCGCCCAAGTTCCTTGGCGAGCAATTGCCCGCGCTCCGAAGAGGTGGAGTTGTACCGAGTTTTTTGGCCACTTCAAAATACATGAACCATGTGTGGATCATGGAAAAAAATAAGTAACAATAAAACAAAATAAACCATTTTATGGATTGATATAGATTTAGATGACTTTAGATGCGGAAACAAATCCATCATTTATGGATTGTGGATCATTTTCCTGAGGGATTCGAATGATTTCTATATACCCTCAAAGTCAAAAGGCCTTAAAAGAAGAGGTCCTTGCCGAGGGGACCCCAAAAGTCAATTTCGCCGAGCGATCCCTAACAATGCCGAGAATCCACGCGCCGAGGCGCCGAGTAATCATAACATCTCAAAACTTCCAACCCCATTGAACTTCCAGCAGCTATTGATTTTCCTCTCGAATTTTGGCATCCAAGCTTACTGGTGACGCTTTTGCGCCTGGGCATTTAGCTTTTCCATATCAGTCAGGCTGAAGGTATGCAACCCAGGCGCAGTAGAAAAATCTGAGCACATCATCCCTAAGCAATGCATGTTGTGTAGATAATGGACCGTCAGAGTACTTCCAAAAAGTGATGATTAGACATGGGTTTGAAAATCACTACTCTCGATTTCTCTCGACTTCTCTCGATTTTCTATGGCTGCCGAGTTGACTTTTAGGGTCTCCGAGTGAACTTTTAGGGTCTCCGAGTGAACTTTTAGGGTCTCCGAGTGAACTTTTAGGGTCCTACATAGCACCCGCTCTCGACTTCTCTCGATTTCTCTCGATTTCTCTCGGCTTCAAATTTTGGTAAATATTAACCGGTTAATCATCATTCCTGCCAATACATGGTCCTGTGTTTTCTTAGCATTGGCAATGATAGAAAAGAACATGCATCCCAGTAACCCAATTGGATAGCCTAATCAAAGCAATTGGAGCACCCAACAATTTCATTTCAAAAAGTTCTGTCCAGTCGAATTCACAGATTTTGGATATATCATGATATTATATATATATATATATCATATTGCGGCCATGGTCAACCGCTCAAATAAGCCAAGAGCAGCAAGATTTGGGATCCTGAGTGGTCATTTCTTTTAGGGTCCGGGACCCCAAAAGTGATGGTTGTGAAGTATTGCCGAGGATGGACTTTTGAGGTCCTAGTTCAAAGCAATTCCGAGGACCCCAAAAGAAGAGGTCCCCGACTTCCAGGGATATATATATATATATACAGTTTTTGTAGTATACCTCAGGGTAAACGACTAAGGCAGGCCAGGCTTCAAATAGTTTTGTTTGATCTCCAAATGGGAGAAAGCAAGGCGATGATCCCAATCCTTCGGGTAGCAACCCCCGCCACAGGCGAACAATGCTGAACTGTTGGGAAAACTATGATGTATATTATCTATGCTTATTAAATATATATATATATATATGTGTGTGTGCGTTGTATATGTATAAATGCAAATGTATATGTGCATGATTGCGTATGTACATGTATATGTGCGTTGTATATGACCATGTATATGTGCATTGTATATGTGCGTTGTATATGACCATGTATATGTATATGTATATGTATATGGGTATGTATGTGTATATGTATATGTATATGTATATGTATATGTATATGTATATATGTGTATATGTGTATATGTGTATATGTGTATATGTATATATGTATATATGTATATATGTATATATGTATATATGTATATATGTATATATGTATATATGGGTATGTATGTGTATATGTATATGTATATGTATATGTATATGCATATGTATATGTATATGTGTATGTGTGTATGTCATTGTATGTATATGTAAATGTCTGCATACTGATGTACTATTGCCGATCACGTGTCCGAGTAACGACTCGTGACAATCACCCCCATCAGACCCTTGCAGGAAGAGGTATTTTTCTGGCCGTCACGAAACAAAGGTAGATGGTATAAGGTGGTGCCCCCCAGTTATATGATAATTCCCATGAACTATTTCGATATATCGTGATATATCGCCCATACACCCCAGAATTCACTTAATTAAAGACCAACTTAGCTAACTATGGGGCCCCCACCTTATGGGAATTTGGTCCTGATGTTCCAACACCCCAAGCAATTTCGCGGGCTCTAGGCTGGTGCAGCTCAACTGCTGCACCGTCACCGCACAGCGATCCTCAGCAGCACTTGGTATGTTACATGGCACCCCTCTCACACATACTGCATGGGCGTGCTGCCAAAGAATTTCAAACCTTCTGCATGGATCATATGGATCTCAATGCTGGAAGTGAACTCTGGCCAAGTGCAAACCTCAAGGACAATATTGCTTCATCATGCCTCGCGTTACTACAAAGGATGGATGACTGACTATAGCCTCAAACTCAGTCCCAACCAACCGGTACCAATGCTAATCAAACCTTCGACAGTTTAATTCTCGTGCATCATATATGTTCTCATTCCAAACGAAAAAACAATTCATCATCATTGATCATCATTGATCACTGTTGATCATCATTGATCATCGTTGCTCATCATTGATCATCATTGATCATCATTGATCACCATCATCATCAATCATCATCATCATCATCATCTATCATCGATCATCATCGTCGTCGTCGTCGTCGTCGTCGTCGTCGTCGTCATCGTCATCGTCGTCATCATCATCATCATCATCATCAAATCTTGCGAAAACATGTCAATTAGAAAAGTCCCTGTTGAACATTCATCAACTATGACTTCCCCCAGGGCGGTCCTTGTGCCCTGCGAAGCGGAAGTTTTGGGGGGGCCGCCCAAGGAAGCGACACAGCCGTGACGTGGCTTCCAGGGTGTCCATGCCTGATGGAAACCATGGTGCCTTGATGGTGAATGATGTGGGATTGAAGGACTTAGTGGGGCTTAAATGATTTACAGTAGCCAACGAGGGGAAAAACAAAACAAACATATTTCAAACAGTGAATCAATGGAGAATGGAGGTATAAACCGACAGTTTTATGGAAATAGCATGGGGAGATAGTATGACGATATAGCACAAAATCTGACTTTTAGGTGTATCTGAAATTGATGGAGGATTGCTAGATGTTCACACAAGCCCATGTGGAGATTTGAATGGTTTAGAATGATGACCAATACATATTTGTATATATATATATACTGATACACTTATATTATATGAAACAAACAGGTTTCATATGATTTCATAATATGGGGTTTACCTCATAATGCCGAAAACTAAGTAAATAGTTGAAATTCAATGACCAATATTATATATTAAAACTTGGACATGGCTGACAAATATGTAGACAGGTACGCATCTGGGGCCAAAACTTGTTATGACATAAGGTGCAATGCATGTGGGACCCTAGTTGGACTGCGTTTCAGTTACCTGCCGGTTTCTCTACCTATCCATCCTATCCGACTCGATCGTACAGGGAGGTGTGTTGGAAACCATAGTGTCAGCATCCTGCGGGGCCATCTCCAAAAGGCATGAATCTTTGTCCCAATGTCCAGTTCAGAAATGTTCAAAGACACCAATGCCCAGAAACAACCCAATGCCACAAGTATCATCTAGTTTCCTCTGCCAATGTCTTCATGTTTCAATCTAGTTTTTTTTAATAAAATCTATAGTTTTCCATAACCACCCAGTCCAACTTGGTACTGGACGTCGCCTTCTTTGTAGAGCCGGAAGTGCAAGTACCATTTGTCGCAAACGTCCGGGGACGTCGGAGGTGGTCCTCAGATGACCCAAAAACAGTCGGCGAGTCATGGCAAAGGCATGCCAGATCTGCTATAATTACTATATCAACATATGAGAACTTAGTAAGTAGTAGCCAGATATCTTAATATAGTAATTATATGATAATATGTTGATCAATATATAATTACTATCATTAAGTATACCGTTATTATATATTTATTCACATAGTATACCGTAAAGACATATTTATTCACATATTACCCTCTGGTAAACTAACATAGCTATGGAAAATCACCATTTTTAATGGGAAAATCCACTATAAATGGTCATTTTTAATAGCTATGTTAAATTACCAGAGGGTAATATATTGATCATAAGAAAAGCTGATGGTTAACCTCCACAAAGATCCAAGCCATCCAGGCATCCCATGGCTCCAAGATGAATCTCTTCTCCCTGCAGATCGATTTCATGGACCTGCAGATTTCATGGACCCAAAGATAGTGATGGTTAATAGTCGTTAATAACCATTAATATGATGGTTAATATTGATTAACATTGGCTAAATATTGGTTAATATTGGTTAATTGGTTTTAACAATGGGATATCTATTGAGATTATTGAGATACCATCAGGTATTCTGGATGTGCGGGCCCTACGAATCGGATCCGAGCTTTATAATCCATTCATATATAACCATATATTAGAACTCCCATCTACAAGTGGTGATATTCATGGATATTCCATATATGACTGGGGGTATAAACCATTTAGTAGGATGCACCTCGAAGTAGCACCTACAAGGTGATGCTGGCTAGGGGCCTGGGTCAAACTGTGGTGGTGAAGCCACCTCTATACAGTGGTTTTGACCATGATAAGTTTATTGCATATGTCAACATATGTATAATTATATATATATATATTACATATTAAATACTTAAACGATATTATACAATGACAGCAACTGCGCGGAGAAATCTACGTTACATGTGGTAGTATGGTGGGAAATTGCTTTTCTCGTCCGCATTTCTGACGAAGTTGGTGCCCGGTGCAAACCTGGAAGTCGAAGAGGGACCTCTTGAGGGCTGCCGTGAAGCCCTGTGGCTCTTCCTGTAGGAACTGCGTAATTCCTGGCCGCGACAAGGTAGGTGACCACGTGGGGACTGGGGTAGATCTGGAACATAAATGGATTGCCCCCCATATGGTCAAACATATATTACATGTACATCATCATATAATATTGTGTAACTGTTTTAATGTGTATATACATATGTACATATACATATATATATATATATATATATATACATATGTGTGTGTAGTATGTGTATGTATGTATATATGTATATATGTGTGTGTGTTTGCGCATATGATATATACATATATAACTTCTGGAATCAGCTAGTTCTGTCATTGGGCCAGCACAAAAAAAAACTTCAGACCATCCACCACCCTCATCCAGTTCAACTTTTCCAGCCCAAGTCCGTGCGGAAACATCCCCCAATGTTACAATAAATGGGTGGTTTAGTATTGCTTTACTAACATTACCTCAAAAAATTGGCGATGGTTTCCCATCACATTCCTCATCATATCAAATTGTTGTTTCAGTCTGCCCCTCCAAAAGAGCTGGGGTGCGGAAATCATTTGCGTGAAGAATTCGGAAAGAACGTGAGAGATAAACCCAGCGTATCACCCAGTTTTTGCGACAACACCAGGTCTTGGTTCTGTATCCCATTATATATGTTGTATCCCATTGTGTCCCCATGAAAACCAATTATTTTTGGTTAAACCCCCATTGTTAGTCATTTCATTTCTGTTTGTTAACTCCCCATTTTTGTTGCTTAAATTACGGATAAACCATGTTGTTACACCTCTGTATGTAATCATTTCTGTCCGTTAAATCCCCATTTATGTTGGTTAAATTAAGGATAAATATTGTGATTAAACTTGTTATGTTGGTTAAATTCATGTTAAGTCCCATTTCTGTCGGTTAAACCTCCACATCTTGCATCAACCCCACCTGCATCTTTGAAGGGTCGACCGCACTGCGGGGAGTAGCTGCGGTCGATGCTCCACTTTCGGCTGAGCACACGGCCCGGCGCGTGGCGACGCATGGCGACATGACTTCTGCCGTGGATTTAACGGAACACCTACAGGAAGCCAGGAAGCCAGGAGTTTTATGATATTTTTTAAGGGGTTGCTGCAAAAATGTCCCGTAATACAATGATGTTGAAAAAATGACATCTGGAGAAGAAATCCATGAGAAAAATGTGAAATTTCTAGACTTGTGAAGGCAAAAATAGGAGAAGAGAATTGGTGGGAACCATTTGGACACAGTTCATCAAGAACTGCCTTCTCCGCCTAGGCCGGTCTGCATTAAGGGCTTCATTGGGTTGACAGTCGAACTCATTGTTTTTGTTCAAGTGCCACAGCTTGTGTGTCTTCTCTAAGATAGGTTGAGTGCCGGAGGTTTGTGAGATGCTGTGAGGTATTCATAGACAATATTGGCAGCACCGTATTCATCTTCAGTCGTCATCCTCACCACTCATCAAAGCGATCATCTTCATCCTCGATCATAGTTTTCTGGACAAATTACTGCTCTATATCATTCACAAACCTAGGCTGTTCGCAGTGTTTATGGAACCTAATTCCCCAGATTCTTGTTGGATGTGTGTCATTGTCATCATCGAAACCCCACCTCACCCGCCTATAATGTGGCAAACCCAATGTCATAAACCATCCCCACATATGTGGTAACTATCACCATCCCCAGTCGTGGTAGGTTTATGCCAGCCAGGGTTGCCCATATTTTCCCCGTGCATAGTCAGCCCTATTGTCTAACCATCAAATCCCAATAGTACTTACAGTAATTTATTTCCATATCCACAGGAAATCATAATTATTTAACATTACCTATCATATTCATACATATATATATATAACCCCATATATAACCATATAATAACCATATCATAACCATATAGAATACCTATACCTGGCCATATCCGGAAACTCCAGCAAAATCAAAACGGGGAACCCCCGACCTCCGTGTCCAAGGCCTCATCCTCTGACTCCGCCTGCGGCGTAACGCGGCGTAACGCATTTCCGATGGGATGAAAGATAAGGAGGTAAGGATGAACGCTTCGAAATGACTGGAGTCATGTAAGTTATCATAGTTTTCTTTATGATTCTTTAGCAATATAATAGTTAACTCATGTTAACTCTACCATTCATGAAGTAAAATCTATTCCACGATATTTCATCATTGTGTGAATGATATTGTTTTTTTTTCCAACCATCCAAAAGCGGATGCCTATGGTTGTTCATGGATTTTAATATCGCCCAACAATGGTTGAAAGCCAGGTACATCCTTTTACTGTATTGTGGCTTGGGAACTCTAATTGTAGCTCCTTGGCTCCCCATTTAGAGAATATGGATAGCTCCTTAGCTCCCTCCTAAGCGCTGGATGCTGAATAAAGCCGTACGTGTCTGATTGTTGATTAAAATTACCAATTTCCAGAAAAAATCCATTGATGAACTCGCACATGTCCAATTTCCGGTTAAAATTCCAAATGCTTAGATCACATGGAATGTTGAAAACCATCAAAAAAGGAGTGGTTATTAGAAATGGTATCTTAATACCATGGTAACCATGGTATTATTTTCACTTTTAACTGGTATTTGATACTCCTTTTCTCATTAAATTCCCATGTTCAACTACCATTCCTCCCACGCCCGTCTCCATGGCACCAGGGTCAGAAGCTCCGGCACGGCACGGCGCAGAATCAGGCTCCGGCGCAGAATCGAGGCCTGCGCAGCCGGGCGATTTCTACAATCTCCAAACGAGAAAAAAAAAAGTAGAAAAGATGGATCTTAGTATACATCACAATAGCTACTCAATCTCAAAAAACAAATAGGTGATAGATTTTAATAGATTTTAATAGATGTTAGATGATTTTAGTTATGCAACACACCAAAAAAATGTGGTCAAATGTGGTCAACACCAGTCAACCGCATCTGTCTGGCCGCTAGATCGGGAAGTTGGTCTGCAAGGAGTTGCCACCGGATGGATGGTGGTTCTTAGATGGGGTTGGTTAAACCAGCAATATAACCGTAGCATTCCCGCAATTGATAAACATGGGTATCAGTTTTAACCTTTTAACCAGCAAGGATTTGCTAGATTATAACATATTATATATATATTATAACCATCAAGTTTTAATTTGATAGATATATCCGTTGATTTACCAAAACGATACAACTGATCGATGATGGTTGCTTGATTCGTAAATTGCTAGCGATGATCCATATTGGTTAATGGTTGATATCTATCCAAAGTTGGGTAGCCACAAGGTGGGCCAGCCCAGGTCTATATGTTCGTTTATAACCATAAAATGAACCAGTTTATAACCCCGAAATCCCAAATAACAGTATAAATATATATATATAATATATATATATAATTAGATCTCCTATAGACCCTATAGTTATTGGAGTCAGCTTAGCTATCTCCCATGAAATCCCAGATATTGGAGTTACCTTCACCAACTTAGCAAAGTAAATCCCATGGAGCCGTGTTTGGTCAAATATCCAGTCGTCCCATAAAATCCCATGACAAACACAATTCCTAAACAGGCTTGGAAATGGATCGAGGAGTTGCTTTGTTGGTTTCAGGTGCTTCGGCAACACTTCATGTTCCTTTCATTTTGCATTCATTTGCATGCATCTTCCTTTCATTCATAGTCCTTTCATTTTGCATTAATTTCCTGTCATTTTCCTTTCATTCTCCTTTCATGTTCCTTTCATTTGTATTCATGTTCCTTTCATATTCCTTTAATTAATTTTCATTCCAATGTGCATTCATGTCCTTTCATCTTCCTTTCATTTGCATGCATGTTCCTTTCATTTTGCATTCATGTCCTTTCATTTCCTTTCCAAAGTTATGGAAATGGCTCTATGGCTTAGCCAGGGGACCGAGTGAAACAAATGGTTATCGCATGTTATTGCTAAGCCTCTAAGCTATCGCTAAGATTATTGCTAAATAACCCCTCAAACATATGACATTATTCGAAGGAAATGTGCCACAAGAACGACAGAGTGAGAGAGAGGGAGAGAAAACAAAAAAGAAAAGAAAAGAACAAACGAAGCGAGCGAGTTCAATGCCAAATGATATGGAAACTGCAGGAAACAGGGGACCACAGGTTGAATTTCTCTCATCGGTTTTGCCCGTTCTGTGAATGTGCATAACAGTATTTGCGTGGTTTACGCCAAGTTTAATGGACTGTCGTGTATGGTCCCGGGTTATCGCTTTTGGGGGTGCACATATTTGACAAATAAAAACTCCTGCAATACTAAAGTGGTCTTCAACCGGTTTGACCGTGACTCATATGAAATCACGATAACTTGGCTGATCTTAGCCAAAACTACCGGGCACAACATTCCTCACAGGGCACTCAACCCAGGACATCACGGAAAACCTGGCATGCTTCCTTTCATGAGCTCTGTGCCAACCTAACCTACCCACTCTCCACATTAAAGAATCCTTCCCCTTGGAACCTGCGTCCGTGCCAATGGGGCCATCTGAGTAGGGCTCACAATGCTCACAAAGGAGCTGGCCTTGGACCCCAGCGAACGCCAGGAATTTCACATGGGAACCAACTCATTCTGGGCAGATATCACGGGGATATGCCGTGGATATGACCAACAATCTCATGTCTGGATGTTTCAAAATTGTTTCCATCCCTGAGTAGGGATAATTTTGGGACAATGGTGATTAGGCAGTGAATTAAGAATCAGTATACCACGGTTTACCCTATGTTCAAACAAATCCACATGGCTGGAAATAGGGAATGTTCTATATAGCTATGTTAGATGTCAACTGGAAACCCATCTTGAATGGGCGCTTGGGGTAACTGTGTAGACCAGCTTTGGAACACACGTGGAGCAAAAAATGGTGATATACTGCCAGAATATTTGCGCACATGCTAGCGACTGAGATGCTAACATGCCCGAACTTGTCGCCACATTTGGCGACATATGCAAGCCAATTGCTAGCCAGTTTTGGCGATCATGTCTTACATCCGTACCATTCCACAGGATAACCTTGCTTCCTGTGGCCATGGGACAATCGACCCCGCCTTGCCACAAGAATCTGAATCAGAAAGTTGGAGGCCAATCCCCACTTCGTAAAAACCCCTGCTCTCCTCAAGACATGGTGGTTTGACAAAATAGGTGATCCCAAAAATCAAATGGGTAGCAATAGCCCAAAAAAAAAACAACGCTGCTATGTTTGCGGCTTTTGGAAAATCAGACGGTATGCCGGTATAGTAGTAGTAAAAAACAAAACTACTGTAGTAAAAGTACACATCTATAGCAATATGTCCCCCATACCCTTTACATGTGGCCTCTTGTCTGGGTCCCATTTGGGTCGGTTCACCAACTAACCAAGAATAAAATTTATCTGGGTCAATTATCATATTTCACTCACCTGAATAGTTTGCGGCCAGCCATGGGGATGATTTCCCTATAAAAACCATGGATTTCCAGGTTGAGGGAGAACAGGGTTTGGTCCCTTGCAATGGCGGCACGGCCCAACGCTTGGCACGGCCCAACGCTTGGCAACGTTTGCTCCAAGCAGCCAGGGAGGAAAAAACGCACACGACACAAAGGGCGCGCCATGCGTTTCTGGACCTTAGGCTTCACCAATGAGTTATAGATAGTTATGGCAGTTATAGGGTTGGGAAACTCAACTGATGGTTTGGAATCCCCACAAGCCAAACGAATGAGTCAGTGACCTTTAGAATGCAGCGTGTAGTTGGTTTTTGTTGATGAACTATGGGTATAATTGTTGGTTTTTGATGACTTTCAGTAACCAATAACAAATTGGAGTATAATTTATGCAACAGGACCAGTCGCTTATCTGCTGGCCTTCCCTTTGTGGATGGTGCGTCATGAGATCACAGTTCTTATCTGGCTGTGGAGAATGGGACCCAAAATCCAATATTGTTCCATTGTCATATTTTATCATGTCCCTATCATCTCTTGGAATTTTGGATCACTTTGGGGCATTTTTGAAGCAAACCCACTGAGATGAAACCCACTGTCTTTCGACGCCTCGCATTGGAACGCGACATCACTCGCGGATGATCGGATGGCCAAATGGA